TAAAAGAATTTGCAGAGATTAAAATGGCTGTCTTGATTTGGAAGCATGAGGAACATTAACATAACTTTCCTTTATACGTTTTCTATGTTTTAGAATATTTTTTTCCAACTGGAAACAGGAATGCTAAGAGTAGATAGCAAGAGAGGGCCCTTACTTTCTCAATGACTGGAGGCAAGTGGCTTTCCTAGAAGGTGGGTTCCTTGTCATTCATGAGGGGTCAGTTCTCATGGGGCCTCAGGTAGAAGTATGTTTGAGAGTGAAAGTCCTGGAACCAAGTCTGTTCCAGGGTGCAGCTGCTAAAATCTGATATTTACTTGGCAATTGCATCTGGTTCTAAAAAGCATGCTGTGTGGCAAAGGCTATCTGAGGGGTAAGTGAAACCTCGAAGGAAGGAGCTTCACATGGGAGCAAGTCAGACCAACCTCAAACCTGCCTGGACCACATTCCAAGAACCCTGGGGCCCAGCCCTTCTCTGAGCCTCTGATGTTTCCTGATGTTTTGGGCAACTTGGGCCAAAGTCTCAGTGTGACTCTGTGGGCAGGTCCTGAGCTCTCGTGTAAAGGTAGGCGCAGGTTCTGTCCTCTCTACAGCAGACAGGAGGAGCCGGATTACTCTCAGGGCTGAATAGGGAAATGACTAAGCTTGAAGCACGCTTTACACCCTGTGAATGCTGCCTCTTTTCTCCTGAGCCTGTCTGCGCTTGGCCTTTCCAGGTCTGTCACAGGAGCCACCCTGCTCCCCACAGGGATCAAAAGCTTTCCGGCCTCTAAGACTCACGTATGCCGCTCCCTCCTCCTGTCGAACCCTTTCTACCTCCTCCAGCACCCCTGTCTGCATCTCTCAAGTCTTCTTCCAGAACTCACTGCCAGTGTCTACTTCCTTCTACCATGGATGTCCCCAACCTGAGTGCCTCTGACTCTTAGTATGGATTTCCTTGGTACTTGCAGCCATCCCAGTGTGTGGAGTAGTGCCTAATGCTCCTCCAGAGACAGCCAGGGGCCCAGGGAATGCTCTTCCTCCCCCAGTTAACTATTGCTTGCTCACTCAAGGATCACTTCCCACAAACTCCCCCAACCCAGGCCAAGCCAGGCTGTGTTGGTTGATGCTCTTGGGACTCCCTGCTCTCTCCTTCTAGCACCAAACCTCACTGCACATTTATTATGTGGATGTCTGATAGATCCCTCTCTCCTGCAATCCATACTAAGCTTCAAAAAGGCAGGGATCATGTCCACCTTGCTTCTATACTATACCTGTTGTCCGGCGATTACTGAGCTGATACTGACAGGGGGACTGAGGGCAGAGTTCTCTACCAGGGTTACATCTTCAGTGCTCCCAACAGGTTCTCAGAAATGCAGCCCTGTCCCCACCCCAACCTTGATGTAGAGTGACTGACCCATGCCTCATTGCTTAGCATTTGAGAGGGCAGGAAAATGCCAGTGTGGGCCCCATTCTGGTGTCTACTGACTGCATGTGATGCCCCTTTTAGATGGAACACTCACCCAAGGGATCCAGGACTCACTGACCCTCCACCATCTGTCCTTGCCCCTGAGACACCCAGAAGGTGCCAGTTCCCTGCTGCATGCTTGGAATCTCAAAGCTTGGTGATGACTCTCTCAGGTGGTGGGGGAGTGCCTAGCGTCCCTGGCACTAGAAAACATGAACCCAGAAACGGTTGGGAACAAGAGAAAGTGTTCATGCAGTGGCTCATTGTCACTGGAGGGAGCAGGATACGGGTGCCCCATTGGTCGTTCAAAGGACTGCTCTACCACCTCTAGTTTTCAAGGGTGTGCACTTCATGCAGTAGGCATGGAGGCAGTGGGGGCGGTCTGCCTTGTGGAATGAAGAGGTCCTGTTGCCCTCCCTGGGGTCTGGGCACAACCTCTCTTCAGTCTGAGCCTGTACGGTGGGGTGACACTTATTAGAAAGACTCTGTGGGATTAAATGAAGTCACGTGGACAAAGTGCCTATGGTGGTGCCGGGCACTTAGTGGGCTACAGCCAAGGTGGTTGTGACTGTCATGAACCCAACTGTCCAGCAGGCACCCTCATTGCTTAATGCCTCGGGTGGGAATCCAGGGCTGCGGCGACTGCAAATCAAGTAAGATCCCTTGGGATAAATGCTGGCCCACAGTAGCTCTCTGAGCTTGGCCTTTATCCAGCTTCCCCAGCCATAAACAGAGATGATGACCTCCAACCTTCTGTTGTCCCCAGTCAGGGTCCAGAGCCCTCTCAGCTTGGCAGGGATGCCTCATGGAACAAGCTCAGTGCCATGCTTGAGATGACCACTCTAGACTGGACTTGGGAGGCTGCCGATGGTCTGCATGGAGCATAGCATTTGATTGGCAATTGTCCATCTTAAGTGTGGTCTTAAGTACTTGAAGCTTTGGAGGCAGGCACAGGATCACTCAAATTTGAGGCTGAGCTTCACCTGTCACCACCTTTCTGAGCTTCCATTACATTAACATTAAAATGGGAGTCATCCTACAGACCTCAAAAGCAAATCATCTGCTCTCAATTATTGGCATTTCCTGTCTCATGATCTTCCGCTGAACAGGTCCCCTCTCCCTCACCTCCTCTTCATGAGTGGGAGGTGACCTCTTCAGCCCTCTGGCTGGCATAGCAATATAACTTTTACTTTCTACTTTGTAGAAACCCACCCTAGGCCATGTTATTATTTTGATAGAAGCCCCAGATCCAGCCCAGCCTGACCTCCACACTCATATCCACTATGTTGCTAAAAAGACTGACGACACCGCAATGACTTACTTTTAGCTGGGGTTATTTTTTCATATTCTGCTGGAAACCAACGTGTGGTCCCGTGTTTCTTATAAATATGAACCATAAGCAAGGGGCTCAGAGCCCTCTGGAGAAACTCCATTATGACGTGAACACAAACCTCTCTCTGCTTCCCAATATTCTATGTTTAAACAGAGCCATCCAATTTCCTCCTCTGTGGTCTAGCACAGGCAAAACTGGGACTGTTTTGGCACTGGACTAACATTTATTGAGCATCTATCATGGGCTGTGTCCTCGGTTAAGTGTTGACAATATGATATAACAGGGAAGGAGACAGGCTGATAGGGATGGGGTGATGGATGGGACATCCTGCAGAGGGTAGAGGGTTGTCAGGAAGCAGAGGACCACAGGGGAGAGGAATGGGTCACAGAGAAGGGGCAAGCCCCCTTTGCCTTGCCCAAGATGCTTCCTAATCCTCTGTAGCATGTTAGTCCTTCTGAGAAGAAGACTGGAGTCGATCGTTGAGAGACACCAAGGAGCCTTTCCCCAAGTCACAGGCCCCTACTTGAAGACCTTAGCAACAAAGATTTGAAATAGCCAAAAACAAACAGAAAACCTCAAGGCCAGGCATAGCGATTATTAAGAGTTGATAAGACCTTTGTGTTTTTAAATTAGTGAATAACAGTAGAGAAACTGCTGAGCTGTTACTGTTTGTTTGTTTGTTTGTTTTTGTTTTTGTTTTGGATTTGCTTGAGGGCTGCGGCTTTCTTTGGCTACACTGTTTGGGACCTGTCTCCAATAGAGCCCTTTGGGAGGGAAGAGGTGTCCTTCCAGGCCCAGCAGGCCTAACTGACTCAGGGTAAGATGCCTGGGTGGGTGAGGACCTGGGGGGAGGCCCTGACAATCTCACAGCCCCTGTGCCCATGAAGGCTCATCCAGGCAGAGAGGTCCTGCCTTGAGGACCTGGTGGGGGAACGGGGACAATGGGCCCTGGCACAACAGTCTCCTGGGTCTCAGGTCACCAAAGTCAACAGCCCCAAGGAAGTGCATAGAGGTGCAGTGTGATTTTCTCATCTCAAATTCCTGATCCGTCTCCAAAAATGGTCAGAATGGACAACTCATGGGAAAGGATTTTAGCTTTGGAAAATGGGTCCAGGAATATACTTCCTTCTAGAGGGACTGGGAAGGAAAGAGAGCTACACGGAGGGAAAGGGTGAGGGTCCCCATGGAGAGGGGGGGCTGGATGCCCTGTTACCAGCTGTGGGTGAAGCCATGGGAGTGCTGGGAGGTCTGAGCTGGGGCATGCCCTGGGGACGGTACCTAAATTAAAATAAACAGGCAACTACTCAAGTGTAATACTTGCTTAAAAAAATAAAGTAAAAAAAAAAAGAAGAAAAGAAATTGTGGTACAGAAAAAAAAAATATATACAAAACAAACAAACAGGCCCTACAGTTAACAGGCAATCAAAGGGCCCAAGGAAGAGGAGTAATCCCATCACTGAGGCACCAGCTGCCCCCTCTGAGTGAAAGGGATAAATCTGCTCTAGGAGTGTCACAGCGGCGCTTGAGTTCAAGGCAGATCTGCCCCAGCACCAGCCACAGCACTGGCAGCCCTCCCCCGGGGCCGACTGGGCGGAGAGCGTGCTACCCTCAGACTGACAGACTCACAGCTAAAGCTCACGGTGGTCTAAGGTTGCACACGGTTTCCAGAGCAGAAAGAAGGGGTGGGTGGCCAGAGATGTTCTCGGCACCCCTCTTGCAGACCCCTCAGGACACAGGAGTAGGAACTTGTCCCACTGTGAGCCTTATCTCAGAAATCGCGAATCATAACGCACCCCCGCAGAAAGATGAAGGGACCCAACGTGAGAGTTAAAGCAGCAGTAACTCGAAGGGCGCCACGGTGAGGAATTTGGGGACGTAGTTATTGATGGTTATCATTCTTAAGGATGGTGATCACCTGCGAAGAATGCACAACCTAAGTAGCTTATTCTTGTTTTCCGAGGAAGGTAGCACCGGAGGTGGGACGCAGGACAACACCCCCGCCCTCGTTCCACAAACCCGCGGCGCGCCCTCTGAGAGGTCAGGGCGGTGTCAGCATTGCGCCCCCCGCCCCCCCGTACTGTCCCTTGCGGCGCGCCCCGAGGGAAAGAGGGCGCGGTGGGCGGGGTGGGCGGGGTGGGCGGGGCGGGCGGCGGCCTCGGCTCCTCCCTCCTGCTCCCGGCGCCCCTGCTCTTAATCCGCGCGCGGGGGCGCCCGACCACTGGCCTCCGCCTAGCCAGCGAGCTGTCATCGCGGAGCCGGAGACGCTCGTCCAGTCCCGAGGCCGACGCAGCCCTCCGGCATGGCCCCTGCAGCGGCATCAGGGGGCAGCTCCCTGCCCAGTGGCTTCGCGGTCTTCACCACCTTCCCTGACCTGCTCTTCATCCTCGAGTTTGTGAGTGGCTCGCGTGGTCGCGCTGGGGAGTGGGAAGGATGGGCTGTTCGGACCAGATTCGGGAGCTGCACCGGTCGAGCCACACCAGGGTAGCTGGGCCAGGGTGAGGAATGTCTCCCCCTCGGAGACCCTTCCACCATTCCAGTAGTTTTGGCCCCTTCTGGGCCGACGACAATGGGGCACACAGACTTAGAGGGAAAACCAAATACTCAACCTGGGTCAAAGGTTGAAAGCGGGCCAGGTCGCATCGTTGGGAGCAGGTTCCAAAGCTGCACCCCGGACCTGCTTCGCAGGGGCCAAGCAGAGGAAGCCCTTATTGGAAAGCGATGTCCGCGTAGAAGTGCCCAGCTTTTTCTAGGGGGTTAGGGTTTGTCTGTTTTTTAAAGTCTGCAAAAGAAATCTAAGTTCACCAGTCGAGGTTTGGAGGTGGGGCTGGTGTTGTTGGAGTTGAATCTCGATCATTCTCTTCTGGCCTTTGAAAGTTTCTGGCCAGTGAATGTATTTAAGACGATCTGGAAATAATAAAACAGGCCGTGGTTTGCTCCACCAGCCATTCTGCTCTGTGTGTGTGTGTGTGTGTGTGTGTGTGTGTGTGTGTGTGTGTGTGTGTTGGGGGGTCGGTGTGTGTGTGTGTGTGTGTGTGTGTGTGTGTGTTGGGGGGTCGGTGTATGTGTGTGTGTGTGTGTGTGTGTTGGGGGGTCAGGGGGCTCGGTGCTGGCACAGTGATCCCGTATCTGGGCTGACCTTGAGCAGTTAAGGCCTCTGCACCTGCCAGTGGTCTCTCCTTCCCCGGTGGCTGCATGAAGGTAAGGTGCTCCCCGATGGCCACCGGCTCTTACCTGGAAGGGGGCCAGCTGTGTTTGTTCTGTGGGTTAGCAGGTGACAGATACAGAGACTCCTCTCCTGCACCCCTACCACAGAAGTGACTTAGAGAGTTGTTTGGGCGGGGGGGGAGGGGGGGGATGAATGGAGGCAGGAGGGTGATCACCAAGGGAAGCAAGTTCTGTCGTCCATGGAAGATTTGGTGGCAGCGGATCACTGCACTTGTGAGAGTTGGGCCCAAACCTGGGTGTATCCAGAGGGACTTCCAATCCTGGGGCTGCCAGAACCAAGGAAGTGACACCTAGAAAAGAAGCCCCGGGTACCTCTGAGACCAGCCCCATGATGCGTAGATAGGGACACACACTGCTCCCAGAGTTGGGAGGGGCTCTTGCCACTGGAACATTCTTTCCCCAAATGGCTCATTCCATGCTTCTCTTCCGCACCCAGCCTGTGCTTGCCTGAGGCTGGGTTACTGAAAAACTGAGCAGGCAGTGCTCATATGGAATGGCAGTTCCTTTAGAGGCTTCTGTATGGTTTTTACAAAGGGAAAGTTTCATGACCAAATGAAGTGATGGCTAATGGTGAGGTATGACGGGGCAGAGACATTTTTGAACAGCAAAAGCTCTTTCTAGTGTCTCTTAAATTGCTCCAAAGTGTGGTTCACTCTGCCTGTGTAGTCATTTGGGGACATTATAACGAGAAACTTACAAGAGTGTGTTAGTTGGGCTCCTTGCAGAGGATCCTGGCGTGCCCTCCTTCTCCTGCCTTCACAAGAGCTGATTCAGGTGGCAGCAGGCGGTGGCTAGTGTTGGTCCGGCTTCACAGAAAGGACGGCCTCCAGTGTCCTCTTCTTCCTCTTGGTAAGGCTGTTAGGGAAAGGCTGCCCCTGAAGGTAGGAACAGCACAGCAGGAATGGTGATCTTCAGAGGACCCCACAAAGTGAAAAAAGAGAACAAGGTTGTGGGAAATAGAATCGGAGCCAGGGATTAGTGGAAACTTACTCCTCCAGGGCTGTATGTGGCCTGCGACGGGGCTTGCAGAAGAAGTAATTCTCCTTTACCAGAATGCTTCCTTCTCAGCTGCCTTGGGAGTTGTTTTTTTCTCTTCTACCTCAGATCCTGCTCCCTCTGTCCTTTTCCTGAGAGGCTCTGATGCCTCGGTTGTATTCTCTCTCTCCCTTTCTAGATTGGGGAGGGTTCCCTGGGGGCTGGGAGAGCAGAAAAGAAGGTGGACACAGCCCTGTGAGTTTTCCTCTGCAGGACTGTAAATGCGAAGCGGCCCGGGTCTTGCTGTGTGGGAAAACTAGAGTTAAAGGGCCGAAGTAGCACTGCCACCCCAGGCAGTGTTTTTAAATTATGGACTATCACAACTCAACGACAAAAAGATAAACAGCCCAGTTAAAAAATGGGCAGAGGACTTGAACAGACATTTCTCTAAAGAAGATACACACATGGCCAATAAGCCCATGAAAAGACACTCAACATCATTGAGGAAAACAGCATCAAAACCACAACGAGGTGCCACTTCACACAAAATCAGGATGACATAAAACAATGGAAAATGATAAGTACTGGCCAGGAGATGGAGAAAATGGAATCCTCATGAGCTGCTGGTGGGAATGTAAAATGGTTCACCTTCTGTGGAAAAATGTTTGGTGGGTCCTCAAAAAAAAAAAAAATGACTATATGACCTAGCAATTCCACACCTAGGTTTATAACCAAAGGATCTGAAAGCAGGGACCTGACTAGGTACATGGACAGGCATGTTCATAATGGCACCATTCACAATAACCAACAGGTAGAAATGGGCATGGGTCCATCGACAGATGAACAGATTAACACATTGTGATATAGCCATACAATGATGTATTTTTCAGCCATTGAAAGGAATCATGTACTAAAACATACTATAAAGTTGATAAACCTTGAAAACACTATGGTAAGTAGAGGAAGCCAGACACAAAAAGTCACCTATTATATGGTTCCATTTATATAAAATATCCAGAATAGGTAAATCTATAGAGACAGAACACAAACTGGTGGTTGCCAGAGCCTGAGAGCAGAGGAAAAAGGAGAGCAACTGCTGACTGGGTACAGGTTTCCTTTTGGGGTGATGGCAATGTTTGGGAAATCGACAGAGATGGGGGTTGCACAACACTGTGAACAAATTAAATGCCATTGAATTGGTCAATTTAAAATTGTTAACTTTATGTTGTTTGTACGTCACTTCAATTTTTAAAAATTGTAAAAGTATTTCAAATATTACAGGAAAGTATATACATACACACACACACTATTTTAATAGGTATCCAGGTAATTCTCACTCAGCTTTATCAAGTTTTAATATTTTGCCTTATTACCTTCAGTATTAAGGGAATAGAGCTTTTCAGATGGCATCGAAGCCTCCTGGGTATGTATTACATTACTCTGCTCCTCGCATCCCCAGGACCACCCTTCGGCTAAATGGGGTGGGCTGCGCGTGGCCCTGCTTCGTGAGTGTGCACACTTTATGAACGGTATCCTCCTGCACAGACCTTTCTGCAGCATGCTTTTCATGCGACGTCCTTTGAGGTTTATAGATGTTCACACTGGGTTTTTCTGATGCACACATCCCAGGAGCAGATTTATGGGGATGCCACCAAAACTTAATTAGACTCAGGACCCCCACTTGCCGGCCTCTTCCAAGACTTTGCCCTATTTTGTATTCTTTTATAAAGAAGGTCCCCAAATTGTATAAGCTTCAGGCTAAACTTGGACCTTTCTAAATCTCACCAGCAGCTTATGGAAATCACCATTGTTCCTCCTCCTTGCCGCACTTGATAACATCAGATGTAATTTTCTGCTTGTCCGATGGGTTTGAAATTCTTGATTATTTTTTTATAAATCTGCAGTCCAGCAAGTGGTTGATTACTCACAATTCCTATTCCCATGCCTGACCTCCCAGAACCCTGGGAAGTGCAGATATCAAACCTCGGCCTCCAGGGGTAAGTAACCAGGGTGGAGCTCACTCCCCTTCCAAGTCAGGGAGCAGGGACTGGCGGTGGCTCAGGGTGGGGCATGGCAGCCTCACCTGGGCCCAGCACCTCTACCCCAGAGCTCCTGACCTCCGAACTCTGCATGGCTCTCACAGGAAGTGAGCTGCCTGAGAGCCACAGAGGCCATGCTGCTGTTGCAGGCCCTGGGGGCACGGGTGCACCCCCTGTGGACCCAGATGGAATGTTCCATGTCTCCTCTCCCCCAACAGCTCACACCAAGGCTCTGCCTCTGTCCTGTCCCCCATCCCCACCTTATGGAGGACTCTTCCTATTGAAGGCACAGTCTCTGTTTCCTCCTTCTCCTCTTTTATCAAGGGCTTCCTGACACTCCGACCACCATTCACAGAACAGGATGCTAATGCGCAGTGTTTTTTGTCTCAGCTCTAGCCAGAGCCCTAAGAGGAAGCCTCTCACAAAGTGCCAGGAGAGACCCTCCCACACGCTCATGTTTAAATGTTGTAAAGGAACAGGTTATGAAATTACTGACCTACAGCTTCCTCCCAACCTATGTAAGACGTGAAGCCACTGAAAGCATGGCTGGGATTAAAAGAGAACATTCTTTGAAAAGAGTGTGCTAGGGGTGCCACTCACCTATCTGGGGCAGCGTTTCCCTGCTTGCCTGTGGGGAGAGGCAGCGCTTTGTAGGGTGCACTTTTGGTTGGGGGTGGAGTAGAGAGAGCCACCTGGGATCAGTTTACAGTAAACTGGACATAGGAGTTACTAAAATGAGACCGTTTCTGTGACCTAAAGTAATTGGGGACCTCTTATTATTTGATAGTGACAAGTCCTGGGACCTGCCTGGATTTTCACCTGCCAAGACTGGGCACTGGGATTTTGGTGGGACACAATGATACAGTTGTTTTCTGGAGGGTGGTCCCCATTTTGGTGACGCCGAGAAGGCAGTATCTGAACTCCTAGGAGAAGAGAGATACATAGTCACAGAAACCTACCCAGGTAACTTGGTGTCTAGGGTGGCACTTCCTGCAGTGACAGCAAATAGCCTTCAGGTTTCTGCATTTCCTCAGACACCCACGATGCACTTTTGCCTACTGCACAAGGGCCTAACCTGGCAGCCTTGGGCAGGGCCTGGCTCCCTTCTCCCACCCCGAGAATGAAGGGACAGCTCAGAGCCATTGGGGAGCTC